TTCCGTAAGTGCAACCAGGTTTCAATAATTGTATTTTATATATTTATAGAAAAGCAATTTAGTTTCGGTTGTTAAGTGTTATTTTATTATTATCATAAAGTTAACTTTATGTAGTATGCATCCCAGTTGTTACCTTTTAATAAATATATGTTTGTTACAAGTTTGTTTTTTCCAAATATACGCCTAGATACTTTACTTAACTGGAGGACAAGTTTCACGTCGTATTGTGAATTTCACATGATTCGATTTTGTTTCATTCGATTTGATCATTCATGTTAAAAGTAATTTTGAATTATTTGCAGTTTTATTTATACACGTATGTGATGGAAGAACGCTTTGTCCGAAATTGTAACAAATTTATTTAACAGGATAGTGAGTAAGTGGGCAGTATAATATAATAAATATGTATAAGTAAAATTTACTTCGAATAAATCAAACCCGACCTATGTCTACAGCGTCTGATGATTAGGAAACTAACTATACTTATTAGGTACAGTTTTTGCACTGTTTCTTGTTGAAAAATGTTCTGTCAGTGTTTTCGTCTGGATAGATGTCCAACTTTATATTTTTTTTAATCATTTTAATTAAGCACATATTAAAATTGAATAAAGCAAAAAATATTGTATTTAAAATATTGTATTTGAAATTATGGTGAACGCGCTGAAACTTTTGGCGCATGCGCAGGTAAATCTAATTATTGTAATATGGGCAAGATTATATAAATATATTTTTGTAGTCGATCGATATTAACATTTTTGAATCGAAGCTTCTATACTGGCGTTGTATTATTTTTTCTATAGTAAAATGCTGAGACCAGCGACACGGAACTACCTCCACGAGGAGAAGGCGTCACGGGTGGCATCACAAAATAGCAAATCACTAGTCTCGATCAATTCGTTTCTAGTCATCATATATATTTATTTTAAATTTATGAAAATAACTAACAAAATGTAGACATTAAATAAGAAGTAAAAATTAAAAGAATATTTATCAATGAAAGATTCTATTCTTAAGGAGTGTCAAAGTTTAAAAGTCATAAATGTCATTCAATTAAACAATATTAAATCATCTGTTAAAATTTTTATGACACTTCTTGTTTTAAAATAATTTAACGATACGAACGTTCACAAAACTAGATTTTTGTTTACTATTAATTTAAGTTTCTCGTATATTCAGTACCAATAGGTTCTGCCGGTTCTGGCAAAGAAATTGGTACCATTCAACAGAGATTTATTATTTAATAGTGTTTACTTCCTCAACCTCTCATTTTAATTTTTTATATCGTTAAACGCGTGGTAAGATGTAGTATTTTTCTTTGAAATAGATAAACAACGATATATTGATGTAAAAATATGGAAATCTTTATTGAAAAATGTAAATTTAAAATTCAATTTGTTCGTACAAACAAAGCAAACAGGATGGTTGAGATTTTAAATAAGTTTTCCATAATTTTTTTTTATGTATTCCTGCATTTACTTTCTTAGGCTCTTAGTAACTGTAAAAAACCATGAATTTTTCTATTCGCAAAAGTAGCAATACATTGTTATACCAATAATTGTTTTTGTTTAATCTGTTATTGAATTATATAGAATATAGAAAGAATTATTTATAGTATTAAAGTTATTCTACTATATAGTGATGTTAAGAAGGAAGTACTGATGAGATTTAGATAGGGGCTAGGCAAGTGTATATAGGTGAACATTGTAATGTATCGAAAAATGTATTCTCCCATGTAGGCAATCGTTATAAGCAAATTCGAAATTTTGTGGAACGGTTTAAAAATTAGTTGACCGAGAGTTACTATGCCCACCTAGGATGATACTCGATCAGCTCGAAGAGTGACATTCTATCCTATTGATCGTGAACTGGAGATATGTCAATGTGACAAGAATTGTTCCCAAGTTTAGTAGGCACTTTACATAGAAGGCTCTTTAAGGCCAATTTAATATCAAGAAGTCCTTGAAGAAGTATTTATCTTCACTGATTTAGCAAGAAGATCGAAAATCTTAGACTCTTCGCCTACGAATCTTCTTTATTCCAATATGCTTTCTTTAAATTGTGGGTGGAATTAGTTTTAAATAACGCAGAGACTTGTTCATTTTTAACAGGAATATGATATATATATATATATATATATATATATATATATATATATATATATATATATATATATATATATATATATATATATAACCATTCTCTAGCTCATCGTAGGATAAGACTGGACTAGAAACATATAAACAAAATGTCCACAGACCGAATATGATCAGCAAAGCCTGATGAAGTAAGGCTTCCAATCAAAAGAGACTCGAAAATATATATTAAAACCTCTTCCTATTTAAAAGCCTCAAATAGGTGATGGGCATATGCAAAAGACCATTTGGTTCAGAGTGTAAAAAGGACTACGATGCATTTTATCTAGAACGTGATGTAGAATTACGAAATTATTAAGACGAAATCAAAAATTTTCTTATCAATATAGGTTTATACTTCTTTTTTGTCGACGATTAAAACCGCACAACTGTAATTATAAGTGTAGTTATAGGTCGAAATTAAGCTAGTCTTCGGTTGCAGTCACTCCCTAGGTCTTCCTATTTTAACTTCATTGAAACATTATTGAGATAATTTTTGGGAGCCTTAGATAAATACACCCTAAAACTATTTCGTAGTTCGGATATCTACTCTCTGAACTGTAGATGCAAATCAACACAGATCTGCTACGTGCAGTATGATCTATTAAAAACATAATTTTTTAATTTTTAAAATAAATGAGCTGTTATAAGGAACTTTGTCATCTTTGGTTTTTAAATCTTTTTATTCAAATTTGATATAAAACAGTTTTGAGTTGATGGATTTTTGATAATATCGGATTTATTATATTTTTCCAGTACTACCATGGAATAGAAATGTGGACTGTCTCCATGCTTGGAAGCCTTTAAGATGTGGCTATAATGACGATTACTAAAGACAGGTTCGGTCGACCAAATACTACAAGTTGTTAATATATAATGACGCAAGCAGGAATACTTCATATGAGGCATCCTGAAAAGTGAACTCTTACATCTTAGTGTACAGGGAAATAGCAGAAAAATATCACGGTTTAAAAATTGTACGGTAAATCGAGTACATTATTATTCAGAGTTGCTGTGAATAAAGCCATGATAGTAAATATGGTAGCAAACATAATATCCAACGATCGACGGTCATGGAACTAGAAAAAGATTTTTGGTGTAAAATAGATGTACCTACTGATATTAACTTATTTTAAAATAAAGAATTGTTTTCTACTCAATTTAGAATAAAAATGGGATGTGGCACTTCGGGAATGACCGAGGAAAGGAAGCATAGCTTTCTTATCGTCTATGTACGAAGAATGGTATTTAATTTAGTTCAATTTAACTCAACACAATTCAATTCAATTTGATTTTATTTTTTATTTTATTTAATTATATTTTAATTTATTTTATTTCAATTTATTTTAGTTTATTTCACTAAGACATACGAATGAGACTGCGTTTACTACTCTACGTAGTGTGTGGTCGCGCAATCTGTCGTTATATTGCGATTATTTTGTTTTTATTCTTTCACATCTAGGTCCGATCTGTTGCATCTATCAAAGCATTAAAGCTATGCTTCCAATAGTTTTGTTTAAGTACGTTCCAGTAATATCCCTAGCTTTTGACTAGAAATTTATTACCCTTGGATCCTTTCTCTAATAATGTAGTTATAGTATCTTTTTGTGCAATATAACTATTTTGAAGTACGATGGGAACTGAATAGATTTTAATTTCCATTTAATTCATATTCAAAGTCACTACTAAAATGTATTTAAAATTTAATAAGTAATGTTGTTTCTACTTTTTTCAGATTTTTTTCTACTTTGTTTGGCTATTCAAAGCAGTCATATAAAAATAATACAATACGGTACAATATAAAATCATCAATAAATCAAAATTACTTAAATGTTTTTACTACTTATTCTTTCATATGGTTCAGATTTTGTTAATTATGTTGGTGATTGTTATATATAGGTGGTGATAATTATTGGATATCCAAAGGTACTTATTGGTCACCCAGTGGAAAGATTGGCTCATTAAAATTACGACTAATGATTTTACATGAATTCTATGGATGAACTGTTAAAATATTTATTGAGTGTAATAGTTTTCTTAGTTATGCAGGAGAATATCTTAAGTACGGGACGGAATATTAATAGATGGTTTTACGCGTCCGATTTTTATTGGAAATAAAGCACTAAAAACATAAAGATACATTAATATTTCAGCCGAACACGGTGTCCCAAATTCAGGCTAGTTTACTTTCAAGCAAGAACATACGGACGTGTACGAACTCATCAGTTTATAGTGCTCATAAAATTATTAGACTCTCCGAGATATAGAAAACTGATCACCGGCATCCTTTGGAGATCGGTACACTTATCACCGCAGATAGGTAAAGTCATCACCAACATTTTTGCTCCAAGGTGCTGGCATTTATTGCGGAAGTTTGCCTGTTAACTCATATTTTTGTTGTTAACTTGGTAATCTAATAAATTCAGAAATTATTTTAAAATTTGGTGTATGTGTAAAATTTTGATAAAATTTGTGTTCAAAATTTAGCTGCATAGATTTTTAATAGTGAACTTTTTAATGAATATATTTGTGTGCATGTGCTATTTTCAGATATATCTGAAATATTTCCAACTTCGCTATTGGAAGTTTGCAACCATTTACCTGCCACGAGGTGTAGTTGCAGTGATTACTGATTACTTTACAAATCTCTTCGAGTCTTCATTTATTGCGGTGATGAGTTTGTACCATCTACGAGTGCATTTATACTAAGTGGTGATGAGTTTACATGTAACCGAACATACGAGATCACATTCCCCTAGGTGTGTTACACAATACTTAAAAAGTTAAATTGACCAAATACTCCACTAATGGAAGTTCTATCTAGTATCATAGTATCTAGTTAGATCTATATAAATCGCGAATTATTACCTACGAACAAACATACTTCGTGTTTCACTTACAAACGAGTGACAAATATTCCTAGGAGGATGTTTGAAACCTAATTCATGTAAAAACTCTAAGAATCGAAACCATGGTTCAAACTAGAGAGGACAGCACCCGATATTAACAAATTTGTTTAGTATTATATCACGCAACTTTTCGCAGTTTATGTTATTATTACTTATTCTATAATTATTTCATTACCCGGCGAAATATCCGGTAAGTTCATCGAAGTTTATTAACGAAAAAAGAACTGGGGTTGCTTTCGGCACAGCTATATTAAGTAAATTAGTACCATAGTACCACAGGCAAAATTTGTCGTTGGTCAATACCTATATGGCGCATATAATTGTGAAAGATAGTGACAATTGGATAGTGTTGATTATTTACCAAATTCCTAGGTTGTGTTATATTGCAGCCCAAAATAGTCCTATACATTTATACAGGTCAGGAATTCGCTGACCACCGGGAGTGAAGAGTTGCTGACAGCTTGTGGTAAAATCTATCGGTAGCTATAAATACTTTCAAGGGCCTTAAGTCAAGATCAATTCTTACTGTTAATCTAAGTTTGTTTAGTAGGTATAATTAACATGTATCTAATCAACACGTTTTTATCAATAATTAGAGATACTTGTTACCACCTCTGTATGTAGTCTAAATCTGAACGAAAGCATCGATGAATAGATCTCCATAGATCATTTGAACTCCCCATAGATCCATACTTGCATGATGGCCAGTTTTTTATTTGTCGAAAACGTTATCAAACTTGGACAGTAAATAAAAATTATTATTTAAGATCAGAATTTATTAATATTTTAAATCAGCCATTTTTTATTCACCTGTGTGGAATAGTACCCTGAGGGGGTAACCCCCAAAATCCCCCCTGGGCACGCCACTGGTCTATAGTGACAAAGATCTTAAAATTGTAAAATATTCTGTAATTGAAATTTGGAGCTTTCAACCAAATGACTCAAAGGTGACAGAAAATATTCAGTGAATAATAATAACTGCATAGCGGAATCATCTAGATTTCACCTACATAGGGATATGGATCGAACAGTTTCTTCTTAAGGTGCCTTCTCCATTACTGAGGGTTGAATATAACTACAGCAAATTGCTATCTATCTTGAGCTGTTCTTAGTGTCGAATGTGTGTCCACACCTGTCCATTCTCTTACATTCTTCAACCAGGAGCATTTTCTTCTTCCTGGACCTCTTCTTCCTTCCACTTTCCCTTCCATTATAAGTCGTAGGGAGTTGTATTTTTCTCCCCTGTAAATATGTCCTAGATAACTCGTTTTCCTGTTTTTTACAATATTTAGGAGTTTTCTTTCAGTACCCATTCTTCTTAGCACCTCGTTGTTGGTTAGGTGCTCTGTCCAAGAGATCTTCAGCATCATACTTGTAATTGCGAGAGTCCATGTTTCCACTTCGTATAGCGATATGGAATAAATAAACGCGTTTTTACAAATTGGTATCGGATATCCAACGATAACGTAGAGTTTATTAAGAATTTTTTCATTCGTTGAAATGCGGACCTAGCATATTCTATACAAGCACGTATTTCGACCTCGTGGTCAAGATCGTTAGTTATCCAGCAACCAAGATACTGGAATCTTTGTATTGGTTCTACGTTTGTTATATATACGATTATTATTGTCGACATTTGGTGCACGTGTAACAGCCATTACTTTTGTTTTATTTGTGTTTATATTTAGTCCCGGGCTAGTTCCCTCTCGGGTTATGAAATTCAAAAGTCGTTGTAAACCCTTAAAACTGTCCGCAATAATGAGGGTTTCATCTACGTATCTTAAGTTGTTTACGTATTCTCCATTGATTTTTATTTCTTCTTCAATATTTCCGAGGGCATTTTGAAAGATCTTTTCGGAATATATATTAAATACCAGTGGATAAAGTACGCAGCCCTAACGAACTCCTCTTTTTATTGGCAATTCTGCTGTCAGACGATTGTCTATTTTGATCGACGCCATTTGATCCCAATATAGTTTTTTAATAAGTGCTACAGTGTTATGGTCTATACCATGTTGTGTTAGGGTTTCTATGAGTTATGTGTGTTTTACTCTATCAAACGCTTTTCTAACAGTTTAGCAGCATTAAATGTACTTACTACTAAGTTTTCATTCATGATTTATATGTGAATATATAATAATAAGGTGTTATTTTATTGTTACATAAAATTAATTTCCATCAAGTAACGGTCGAATCCATCAATTAATGATATATAATCACCTACTTTTATCACGTTCATCAAGATATCTTCAAAAGCTATATATATATATATATATATATATATATATATATATATATATATATATATATATATATATATATATATATATATATATATATAATGAAGTAGGTTTCAAAAGAAAAAAATTCTTTTGATCTCGAGGATATCGGTCAGAGGAGAAATAATACAAGGAAATCACAGTTCCATTCCTATATTGGAAGACGTTTCGCTTGTGAAGTTCACAAGCTTCATCAGTTCAATCTAAAACATATTACCATGGTGGTAGGCAATAATATACAAAAACATGGAAAAAAATAACTTACGAATGGTAAGTGAAGTATCAAAGATGTTAAACAAACACACCATTCCCTTGGTAACTGTGGTCAATACATTAAAGTGTTGTTAAAATCGTAGCTTGAATGTGTCTATGTAGTAGCATTTGTGATATTATAATTCGAAAAAGTTTAATTTACAAAAGAAAGAAAGAATAAAAACTACTACCAAGCTCGATAAAAAACACGTCAACACTGCACGTAAAAAAAAAAACTTACAACCATAAAGTGTAGAAATACATTTAACAAATTAAAAAAAAAATTGACTAAGACGCACTGGCACAGAGCTGAATTGTTATATCAAAAAGATTTTATACTTTACTTTAGGTCGCATTTCACTCTAACGAAAGTCCAATTGCCGGCATTTTCAATGCAGTAGAATGTGTGGATTTATTAGTTTTGAGTTGATCTAACTTATAGGGGGAGAATGAGACAAGCAGGCGCAATACACAAGTAACGCAAATTTACAACATAGAAGACACTGAAGTAAATAGAATTGTTAAGTGGAAATGTCTACAAAACCAATATGAAGTAAAAGAAAGGCTGGAATTTAGAATTTATAATGGCGATTAGTCAAGGAGGGAAATAAGTGAGGGTTTATGTAAAATAGGTATACATAAGTATGTGATGTAAAAGGTTGAAAGTAAGAGTAAGTACTAATGGGAAATAAAAAGATGGTTGATAGGTAGCTGGGATGTGGTAATAAATGATCAAGGAAACGGCAATGAATTTTAACTTAACATGGAATTAAATTTTAGTGTATTAGAATATCTTACGTTAAATAAAGATCCGGTAGTGACAGGAAAAGGTTCGCGCTATTGCCTGAATACAACATTATGCGATTTTTCGTCAACTGAGTACATTTCATTATATTGATCGATTTGTAAACTATATAATTTATTTTTCACAAAGTAATATTGTTCAGTAGTAGTAGTATTTAGTAAAATTCATTGTTTATAATTTAATCATAAAACAAAAAAAATTGACAATTCAAATTGTCAAACATCTGACATCAATATGATAAAACACACACGTTATAATATATTCTTGTATTACGTGTGGCCTAACTTTTAGGGGTGGTCTGAAAAATCTATTATATTTTTGCAAAATTTTGAAGCACATTTGATTCGTAGAACGGTTTTAACATTTGTTTTTAATTCAGAATTTAGTCCTCTACAAATAGTTTTTTATGACTTTTGATCTAAAATAATTAGGGAAGCAGCAATTCAACAATTTAAAATTTCCCATTGAGTTTCCTATTCTTATCCTATTGAAAAAATTCTCAAATGAGTAAATTAAGTGGACAAATTCAAGTAGCGTACTTGAATGTTCGGTGTATCTACGACATGAATTACAAAGAATTTCCTTTTAATTTCTAATTCTCATCGTTATCCAATATCTCATGCTCTATTTCCGTAGGTAAAGCTGGTAAGCTGGTGCTATCATGCTATCAACCATTTATACAACTCTATTCAACAATATTTTCAAAGGATTAAAAAATGTCTATACATATGTATTATAATAATATATGGTATATAAAAAGGGTAATTGCCTTTTAGCAAAGGTAGTACAGTTTATCTTGTGAATTTTTTATTTACAATACCTTTCTAAATTCAATGTTCAAAATGTTTATAATCAAATTAGAAATTTTGTTTTGTTACTTAGTTTATACAAAAAGTAAACAAAAAATAGACGAGAACAATAAAGAAATCGCAAAAGAAATATAAGAAACTTATTAGAAAGAACCAATAAAAGGTTTAAAGAGTAAGGTTGTTGAATTGTATAAAAATATGCCAAAAATATAAAATATCACAAAAACTAATTATTTAAAAACAAGTAAGTTGTTTGACGCAAATTTGAGTCATCGATAGACGCATGAGCTTAGAGTAAAACGCATTCAGAAACAACAAGAAATTTTACGACTTAACCTTTTTTCCGTAGCTTCTTTCATTTTGAAATTTTTGAAAGAAAACAAATTGTATATTTTTAACATCATTTATTCAAAGTATTACTTTTTTTGCACTTGGTGTAGATACTTATATCTGATTGAGTAATTAATTATTCTGACGACCACAAAACTCCACCCTAGCGTGTAAGTACAGACCGGGTTCCCGTCATAATCGACTACTGATATCTCTTACACTACAAATTACTTGGAAAAAAATTAATGAAGCGGAAAAATGTTCAATCTGATAAATATGTCACGGGTGGCGACTACCACATACGCTACAATAAAAGAAGTTGAAGAATACCTATACATATACAAGGTGTTAAATTTCTACTAGATTTTTGTATCTATAAAAACTTTGTCACAATGGAAATCTCAATCTGTATATTTTTCGTAAATACACCTAATATTTTGAAAGTTAATAAGATTCGTGTGCGTAAAATAATTAGATTTTTTAAATATTATTGCAATA